GCTCGACATCTTCTTAAAAAAGATCGGGTTATTAAACGAGCGAATCCACGATTATTAACAAACTCAGCTGCTTCCAATAGTCTTTGCCGTAGCTTAGCTACATTTTGAATCGGCTTGAAATACACTTTTTCTTTTACAGTTCCCCAGTAAAAAAATCTAAAGGATTCAAATCAGGTGATCGGGCTGGCCACGGTATTGTACCAGACCGCCTTATCCATCTGCCTGGAAAGTTTTGATCGAGATACTCTCTCACTGAGAGTGCATAGTGCGCTGGGCAGCTATCATGATGAAAACACATGTCCCTGTAAATACTCAGTGGCACGTCCACCAATAAATTTTGTACATGATTTTTAAAAAAATCCAAATAAACTTCAGCAGTCAAAGTCTCTGGGAGCTCAAGCGGACCGATTATTTTACCATTTAAAATTCCTGTCCAATGGTTTATCTTGAAGCGATATTGAGATTTATCTTCTCTCATCAAATGTGGGTTTACTACGTGCCACTCGTGAAGGTTATGCAGGTTCATGTACCCATCTTTCTTAATTGTGGTCTCATCCGACCATAAAATTTTTTCAAAGAACTGTGGATCTTTCCTGTGTCTTTTTAACATTGTGCGACAAAAAGCAACTCGGGGCTCATAATCCCGGGGCAGGAGAGGTTGAACATGCTGTATGTGGTATGGATGAAGCACATCACTTACTTGCTATTGCGCACTTTGATACCGATCAGTACTCCTTCGTTTACTGCGCATCTTTACATGTTCGTGCTTGTTGATTTCGTACTGTTACTAATTTTGGATTCGTGAACTGGACTGTTGATCGCTTGTGATTTGGATTTGGACTGTTTAATTGCTCTTCAAAACAACATTTGCTTTCCTTAGACTATCTTTGATAGTGTGATTGTGCAGTGCCGCTATGTCCGTGTACACCGTACAAGAATATGCTAACATGCACCTCATTTATGGGGAATGCAGATGCAACGCTACAGTATATTCAGATAAGAGATAGACCGGACATAAACAAGACCACGTGATCATCGAACGCTGTAACATTCGGCAGGGACGTATTAAGAGTCACGCAGTACATATTTTAGATAGTAGATGCTGCTTTGCGTAACTTTGTAGTAAATTAGCACAATTCGATGTGTATACGATTGGTGATGGATATAGGATCATGTGGGGGTGGGGTAAGAAATATATAATGATGTAAATATACATAAGGATTTCAAAATTTTCGGATGCCGCCTGATGTTTGGTGAAATACAGTCGAATATAATCTCATAATGGCGTTTAAATTAGCCTAAATTAAAAATAATCGTATATCTCTTAACATTGCTTTTAGAATATTGATTAGTATATTTTTTGATTTCTAGGTAAATATGTAACCAAATTAAAACGTTCAAAACGTAAAAAAATGTGCATGGTTGAACATTGTCAGAAAGTAGATTCTTGAATAGGTTTTGCCAAAATGGGTTCAAAAATGTCAATAAGTAATTAAAAAATACAGTAGCTTTATAATTACTTATAAATTACCGAATTTGATGAACGACATCTTTTATTGGAAAGATGAGCTTGATGAGCTTTCATCATCGCTTCTGCCTGAAGCACCAACGTCAATAATGAATGGCTCGACTTGTTCCTCTAAAATATTGTCCAGTTCCCACATTCTCTTTTCAACTTTGTCTTTCACGTGCTTAATACAGTTTTCCCATTTTTGCGCTGTTATTAATTCTAGTGCTTCTTTGAAAAGTCCTTTGAGGTCACAAAATTTAAAAGTTGTATTGTGCTTAGCTATATAATTTTTAACCTCTGCCCATATGAGCTCAATGGGATTGAGCTTGCAATGGTATGGAGGTAAACGGAGCACAGTTTTATTTTGACTTGCTGCCATTTCGTCAATGGCGTATTTTTGATATTCCGCCTTGTGATCCTTGACAATTCTTAATAATTGTACTTTCAGCATTGCTTCTTCAAAGTTGATATTTTTCGAGCGGAGCCAATTTTGAACATCAACTTTCCTTGAAGCCGTTGTTGGGACCTTCTCCATTCTTCGAGAATGATAAGGCGCATTATCCAACACAATTACTGCGTTTTCCTCTAAGTTCGGTAAAATTTTTGAAAACCACTGTTCAAACGATTCGCCATTCATTTCCTCGTGGTAATCTCCAGTTTTCTTAGACTCAAAGCACCACAGACCGTCAACAACAAATCCATCCTCACTGCCAATATGGCAGATAATGAGCCTTTTCCCTTTACCTGGAAATCGAAGTACTAACTGGTGTAGATTTATTTCAATAAGCGAACCTTTTTCAAATGTTTCATCACATTCAGCGAAAAACATTGAGACATGAGTATCAGATTGCTATAATTGGGATTATTTAGTCATATTGAAAGAAAGAATATTGAACGTCGTATGATTACTCAGCGCTTCACAATTTAATTTAAAGTTATAAACCTTTAAAAAATGAATGATCAGGAACCTGAAATACGCGCAAATATTAATATTAACAAATTATAACTTCATAAAGCTTAAAGTATGAATTAAAATGATTAGAAATATTAGGAACGGTACACAATATAAAACTTAGTAACTTTTTTTAAGTTTATAATATTTGACATATTTTAAAATTATATTAAAAAATTATTGAAATATCGAAAACACATAAATACATGGCTTAAAAAAGTTCTAACAAATGAAAATGACAATAAAACATCCACGCATTTTATCGAAAGTTATAAAAGTTTTGTTACTTGTAATATGTTTTATCTGCCCCCTGGAATTAATGTTTAGAACCTTGTTCCCAAGGTTTGAAAAACATCCGATTGTTGTCTATTACTCGTATTTACCTGCTGGATTTTTTAATCCGGTTGACAGTCCACCTAGAAAGGCCCTCCTGGATGAAGTTACAGAATCATCAACCCATACTTTACTTGTAGTGTGTCCTGCGTTTACCCACGTTTCATCAAAGTAATAAATCTTCCTGTTTTGATTTCTATATTTCCCAATTTTTGTTAAATAGTCCCTCCTCCATAGCACAATTTCTTCTCTATCCAGTAGTAAACTATTACGACCCCGTTTTTTCCATTTGAAATTTAAATGCTTCAGTAACGCATGGAAAGTTGATCGTTTGAAATTTGGCAACGTTGTATCTCCATTTACCTCCTGCAGTACTTTATCTATAGTAGGTATTTCATTCCTAAAGAAGAATTCATGCACTTTCCTCCTAATCGCATGCTTATCAGCTTCATCCAATGATTTAACAATACTTTTGCGATGTTTACTGGTCATTGTCTCAGAAAAGGTGTGATTTTTTTGTATTGTCTTAACACATTAAACACTGATGCGCGACACACCCCAACTTTGTGAGAAACCTTCACAACAATTTCTTTGATGGTTGATGCCTCGTTCTCCTCGCGCTCGATCTTATATATATTCAAAATGACCTCTTTCATTTCTGCACTCAGGTGTCTTTTTTTAGAGCGTTTCCTAGGTGGACTACAGGAGTTTACAACTTCATCGGCAGTATCTGTACTATTGGGCATCTTGCGCAAGCAGTTGATAACAATGACAATCAATAACAAGGTATAACAATAACAACGACAAACTCAACAACTTAATAAGATAACAAACGAAAACGTCCAAAGAAATATCAAATTGAAATTATACACACGACATACGTAACACGTCTGAACCTGAATGTGACTCTGTCTTGATACGACCGCTCTGCCGCTCGGCATAGGCATTTAATTGCGAATTGACCAATGAGGGCTCCTGTTTTACGTCGAGACGGCGGCGTTAGCGTGAAAATCACCCGAACCTTTTGTGTACATCCGGTCTATCTCTTATCTGAATATACTGTAGTGCTGCAGCGAGACTTTACTGTGAGAGGTACCCGAATGCAGCTCGTCATCCAGATCATTGAGTGTTCACAAATGTGCACCGCTTACTGTTCTCAGAGGGCCAACTACCAAACCAATCACACGGTGAGGGAAGATCTTTCCTTCCTTACGAAGACGTGGTGCTAGGAGCTGTCGAAGAAGACCCGAGTACTTCAGTGCGTGCAATAGAACTAAAAACAGGTGTGCCCAAAAGTACAGCCCATAGAATCTTGCAAAAAACGTGCTCCATCCATACCACGTACAGCGTGTTCAAGCTCTTCTGCCCCGGGATTATGAGCCCCGAGTTGCTTTTTGTCGCATTGTGCATAAGTTAACGAGTAATCTTCTAAGTGTTATACCATTTGGAATCCTTATTAAATGCGCCAACTTTTAAGGTTACTTGCCAAACTCTCGTAGTACATTTTTTTGCAGTACAGCCAGTTAAAGTTGAGCAAAGTTTTACTTTGGAATACTTGGTTGGGAAATAAGTGGCAATTTTTCCTGAACGAGAAAAGTTGGTAGTAAGGTTGAGGCACCAGTTTGAAGATGCATTATTCAGCATTACATTGTAAAATTAAAATCCAAAAAAGGTTAATATTTGTAGTAACAGGAGTTGACAGACTGCCGTAGGGTGTGAAATTTCTATATTTTTTTCAAAGACTTATAATTTTCAAAGCACATACATAAATTTTTTTAAATATTTTTCTAAAAGCTGTTATGACTTTGCCTATCACCCGGTTTCGGCTTGACGTCGACTTCTGGGACACCCTGTATAACAAGCGAAAGTGGTAACTTCCACTAAATCTGCCAGTTCAACGTATCCCTATATCCGTTAAATGGCTTGCCGCAGCATCATAAAATTATAGTATCTTCATTTTTCCTTTCGCACGTTTAAAATCGAACAAACTTCAGTAAATCCGATTCAAATATACTTTCACCTTCACAATCATCGATACACTAATATGTTGATTATATGACTTTTTTTTGATGAAATGAAATCGAAATTTCTAAATTGTTATAGCCAATTAAAGACATTCACATCATTATGTCTAACTAATAGTATCTACGCCTCTACAGGATGTTATAACAGTGCTTGTGTATAAAAAAGCAATCAAATACTTACACTGAAAGTTCTTGTTCAACATCTGTTTCTGAGTGATACCCCGTATCACTGTAGCACGGGCTGTGAGGTATTTGCATTAAGTCTAGTAGAGCTGCACATCCTCTCGAAAACGACATCAGAATAGATGCTACTGGCAAGTCTTCACTTACAGGTTGAAGTCTGGAAGAAAATCATTTCATCAATCGCAAATAAGCATCGTTGTTGATTTATGAAAAGGGATAAATAATACAAATGTGAAACTTCAATAGTACAGCAGGCCACAAGAGAAGGAACAACAAAACAAAATTACAGCAGGCTGATGTCTTAATTTGAAAACAAATGCTGTACGATTAATGTATACCGTGGTGCCAACCTATTCAATCTAGATAGAAGGAGCTAGTCAAGGATTTATTTGTCTCCTAATTCTCATAGTCTATAGTGTGGATCAAAGTGCTCTTGCCATGAGACAATGTTTTGACAGCGCGGTCATTAAATTCGTATATTTGACGTTATTTTTCAAAAGTGCGAGTGTCTGTTTGTTTGTTTAAGATTTATGTAGCATGATTGCTACAATTACACTCTTCTAAAGAACTAAACAATTGCATAACATACACATATTTAGAAAAAAAAAACAAAATTTGCATCTCTAAGAATTTTCATTGTCCAAGAAATATTCCTTTAATTTTATGTTAAATATCCTTAAATTACAGGTAGACTTTATATCATTATTTAGTTTATTAAATTCAAGCAAACCTTTCTGAAATATTGATTTGCTAGTTATATTACTATTGCAATTTTGTAAATGAAAACCTATATTTGGTCTTGTATAATAATTGTGGTAATGATTATTCAATTCTATTCAGTGTTCTAAATGTTCTGGCAAAAGATGATTTTTTATTTTAAATATAAAAATAAGAACCAAATATGATATGAACTTTTTTATATTCAACCACTGCAATTCTTTCTTCATTTTGTTTTGGTCTACTTATTTTTATTCAATATTATTCTCATAGCTTTATTTTGCAAGACTTGTAATTTTGAGAATACAACTTCATTGGCAGTGAACAAGATAGTGAACAATATAGTAAATGCGGTAGAATAATTGTATTATTAATAACTATTTTCTTGGAATAGGTACCAAGACTATGAGAAGTCCTATAAAAGTAATTTGTTTTTTGGCAATTTTTGAAATAATGTATTCATAGTGATCCTCAAACTTTAATTTACTATCAATATATACACCTAAATATTTAATTGATTCAACATTTCCAATTATTTATCCATTTATCCTAACTGTGATAGTATTTTCATTTAGGTATTTCCCTATTAGCATACATTTTGTTTTAGAAGTAGTCAATTTTAGTTCATTAACATTTAACCACTTGACGACTTTTGCCAAGTTAGAATTTAGCATTTTTAAAGCAGTGTCTATATTTTCATCTGACATGTATATTAATGTATCATCTGCAAGTATCTGAAGTTTACAATAATCTAAAGTATTACAAATGTCATTAACGTATAAAATAAGTAGTAGTGGACCTAGTTTACTACCTTGTGGTGGTACCAACAGAAATATTTTTTGATCTTGAAATGCAGATCCAATTTTGGTTTTTTGACTTCTGTCAATTAAATAGTTTTGTAGAATTTTGAATACAGATCCTTTAAATCCGTAGTGATGTAATTTTGTAAGTAATTTATCCCTGTCAAAAGACTCAAACGCCCTTTTGAAGTCCAAAAGAACTGTTACTGTATGTTTCCTATTGTCCATACGTCTCCTCCAGTCCTCTAAAACCATTTGTGTTGCCATTTCAGTTGAGTGTTTCTTTTTGAATCCAG